GAGGAATTCTGGGAGTTGAAGTCCACAAGTCTTAAAGTTGCCAAGGTTGGACACCCCTGGTCTATGGAGATTCCCAGTCATCCAGGTCATGTTTGTCCCAAAGTCTCTTTTTCAGGAGGCAATTAGACTTCCTTGTTTTTACTTTGAAGACGTTTCACTTCTCATCCAAGAAGCTTCTTCAGCTCTTCAGTTCAGAACTGAAGAAGCTTCTTGGATGAGAAGCAAAATGTCTTCAAAGGAAAAAACAAGAAAGTCCAGTTGCCTCCTAAAAAAAGCACCTTTGGGATATTACAAAATAATGTTCACTACCTCGTACGTTAAAAATGTATACTAAGTTTGTCAGCATGATATAGCAAAGCTACTGGTTAGGACTGATGCCAAAAGTCATAGCTACTTGTTCTTAAATATGACTTTGTCTTATTGGAAATCTTTGATGGCAAAGAGACACTTTGTCCTTCCGTGTTCTTTTCCAAGTCAAACTCCCATCTGTTCCCAAATGTCTCTTTATTTGGAGGCTAAAATTTAATACAACAGCATTTAGAATTTGCCAGAGCTGCTGGGAAACATAATTATTTGACCCTCTGAGTGACAAAGTATCCTGATAGTATTTTCTGGGACATCCAATTCCTTGCCAGCAGTAGTCAACTGTTTTATGCAAGCCACTGTATACCATTCCAAGTTTTTTTTGCAGATTGCCCTCTTGGGAGTCAGCTTCATGATAGTACCGCTGTAAGAAGATGTGTGTTTTTAATTTGAATGGGAATACTAGATAGGAGTAACAAAACTGCCCTTTATAATGGCAGTTCATTACCACAGTTAACTCAATGGTTCATATTCCATCGGTGCCCTGAATAAAAGCTTTTGAGGTCCAATAACCAAAATAGCAGTTTATGAATATCACACATCCAGATACATGGGAGGATATACACAGCTTAGGAATTTGTGACATGGACTAGAACCCATCTCAAAACTGTCTCCCTGCCAATCATGTTTACTTTTAATTTGCAATCTTTTTCACATGCTGATCTGGGAGAAAGCAACCTTATATCTTGTTGTTTTCTCCAGACCTGTGGAAAGTGACCTAACAGCACAGCCTGATCCAACACTGTACGTATGAAAATGAGAAGGACAATAATAATCATACTGCAATCCTTCTCATCTTCTCTACTACCCCCTCTTACTCATATCATTATTATGATTATTATTACTCTTTTGCTCTGGAGACAAATTCCTTGGGGGGTCTCTAATCATATTTGGCCATTTGTGTGTGTGTGTGTGTGTGTGTGTGTGTGTGTGTGCCATCACCCAAGTAGGATTTTTTCCCCCTTCTCCAGATGTTATTGTCTGATCTGAATGCAACACAACCATGGAAGAAATGCTATACAAGTGCAGGGAAGGGGAAGAAATAAGGCTTTGTGCAGAGAGCCCCATTTTTCTGGGAGTACACAGGTTTTTTTTTACAACTAAGCAACACACAATCTGCCTCTGCGTATTTACAAAAGGAGCACCCCTTCCTTTCAGCTAAACGATCTAGCAAATGTTTCCATGGGGTTCTAATAGAAACTCTATCAGCATAAACCACTGGACTGTCACTACAGCCTCCAAACTAGCAGAGAAATGGAGTCAATTTACCCCATTCTCACCTTCCCTACATCTGGCACACATACAAAGAAGTTGCCATGTGAGCCAAACGGAAAGGATGGTAAATGTCTATGGAGATTCTCAGTCATCCAGGTCATGGTGATCCCAAAGGTGCTTTTTCTTGAAGAGGCCACTGGACTTTCTTGGTTTCTCTTTGAAGAGGTTTCGCTTCTCAACCAAGAAGCGTCTTCAGCTCTTGAGCTTTTTTAGTACAAGAGCTGAAGAAGCTTCTTGGATGAGAAGCGAAACCTCTTCAAAGAAAAACAAGAAAGTCCAGTGGCCTCTTCAAAAAAAAAAAAAAGCACTTTTTGGGAGAAAGGATGCTTATAATTGCTGGCCAAACAACATAAGCCGAGAACTTCATGTCGGATGCCTAATTTGCATGTTTAACTGGCCATTGGTCAATTTATGCTTTCCTGCTGAGCCAAATTGTTCTGAAACAACAGAAGTGGCTTTTTGGAGTGCTCTAATATTGGCACCAGTTTGTGGGATTTTAGTTGCTAGGTAAACACACATGCTAAGGATTTTCAGCCAGGCTGTAACATGCTTTAATTTTCATCTCCAAATATAGAAAGGGGGAGAGGGCTGCTACGTCCATCATCTTCATTTTCGGATCTCTCTTCATCCATAAACATTGCTGCCCCTATGTTAAATCATTTCTATTACAGGTAGTCCTCGACTTACAACCACAACAGAGCCCAAAATTTTGGTTGCAAAATGAAAACGGTTGTTACGTGAGTTTTGCCCCACTTTACGATTTTTCTTGCCACCGTTGTAAAGGGAATGGTTAATTAGTTGTCAAGTGAATTTGGCTTCCCCAACGATTTTGCAAAAAAAAAAAAAAAAAATGATCATGTGAGTCCGGGACACTGCAACCGTCATAAATATGAGTCAGTTGCCAAGCATCTGAATTGTTAATCACATGACCACGGGGATAATGCAATGGGGGTTAGTGTGAAAAATAGCCATACAGTTTTTCAAGACTGTTGTAGCTGTTGGAACTTCAAATGGTCATTAAACAAACTGTTGTAAGTGAAGGACTACCTGTAAATTGGCTTATATTAAGCTATTATTTTGTTGTTCACCTTTATTACTTCTATTTTTTGCTGCTGCAGCCACCACTACAAATGCTCTCAGTTTTTTTAAGTTACTTTTGGGTGGTTGTGCTGAGAAAGATAGAAAAGTCTTATACTCCGGCCATGTTTAAAAATTAGAATAATAATAAAAAAAATAACACAGAGGTCTATTATGATAATGTGGCTGCCTGAAGGAGAGTTGGGGTGCTCTGAATAGGGTAGCGCAGGTTCACAGTTAATGTGAAAAATCTGAAGTATAACATTTTCTATATATGCAGATATGGGTGTGTGAATGCAGAAGGCAAACAGCAAACCATTTCTGCAGCATTGCCAGGAAAACTACATGGTGTTTTTTTTAAAAAAAATACACACATACACACACACACAAACACATACACACAAACTCACCAGAAACTAAGCTTGACTTTATATGTACATAGACCACACACATACACACCCACCGTTAAGACTTGCTTATCGGTCCAATGGTCTACCAGGACCAGTGATGGACTACTCCTTGCTGCAGATTTCAAACCAGAAGCTTGTAGCTTAGCATGGAGGATTTTGTGGCTTCTTGCACTGAGCAAGGAGTCAGGCTGGATGACTTATGAGGTCCCTTCCAATTCGTACAAGTGAATTCACTCAGTAGAATTCATTTCAATGTGTGCATCTATGCACCCCCTCCATACATACGTGCGCTAGGAAAGTTAAGGAAAACGCAAAGAAGGGAGAAGTAATATTGTGGCTACACTCCTGCCTATGGCTCCCCGAGAATTATGTCCATACAGTTTATTTCATAGAATTATGGATAGTTCACACAATATACTGAACCCTAAGCTAGTCAAACAGGCTGTGTCTCCATATTACATTATCCCCCAGCACCACCCCAGATATAAACTGAGGTCAACTCAAACCTGGCCCACCAGTGCTTCATTTGTAATCGATCTGGTTTAACCTCACAGATAGAAGAATCATCATTCAATTTGAGGGAGCTGAATCAGAGGAAAGTCACAGGAGTTACAAACTCACCCACATTGTCTGGGGGACACCGAAGGTATGGAAGATAAATTCTGGCACCAGTTTCTAGAACAATTTCCTCTCCTTATCACATATCACCAAGCTGTTCCTGGCTACTGGTTGACTGAGCTATCTCCATCTTTGCAGTTAAGGCTATTATGGTCTGTGGTGGTGGACCAATCCATGCTGTCTTTACTCTCACTGAAAAAACTCAACTGAGATGTCCATCCTAAAGCAGGAACAACCTCACATCAGGTTTCAAGACAACTGGCACTTCCTTGATCCATTTTAAACCCTTACACTACAATCATACACATATATCATTTACCTCCAGGATCGTTGTAGCAAAATGTGCTAAGATAGTAAGCTGGGAGCAACCTCCAAAATTCTGTTTGGAAATTTTTGTGTAAGACAGATTTGAATAAGATCAATAGAGACTGTATAATGAATATGAAGCTATTTATACATTGGATCAAGGTGCCCAATAACTTTTTACAGCATTGTTGGAAAACAGGATAGGAAGACTCTGCATTGGCTTTTGTGAAACGCCCAGCATAACTTCATTTTCCTTACATAAAAGTGTTGATGGGAAAGCAGGAAGTGGATGAGTGGAATGCACTGGTTTGAAAACACAAAACACTGGACCAGTCTTATGTCTCGTAAATGAAGAACAAAACTTCTCTGAACCAACATCATTCATATTCGTGTCTCCAGACACGGATTTTTTCACCGGTTCCTTCAGCACTAAGGACTTGAATCAAAAACCCGAAAGTCAGATGAAATTGTAGAAATCATGGTCGTGAACTTGCTGTGGTGATGTGGACATTCTGTTTCCAGGAACGTGAGACATTTAAAAACAGATGCATGAAAGTGTCCTGGCCAGTAGGTGAACCTACCACGCAACCAGTGCTGAAACTTGATCAATGCATCTTTGTTTTCATCTACTGCTACCACATCAAAAATATAATTCAGGGCTTATGGTTTTCTTTTCTTTTTTATTGCATTAGGAAACCAAAAAAAAGAAACCATTAAAGCATTAAGACAGCCCTTTGATGTCCCTGCCAAGAGGATATGGTTGATTTACAGATATGCTGCCGGATACAGTTTCCTTGCCGGAACCGTTCCTCTTAACCTTCGCGCTCATTCACAGGTGCTCTCTCTCTCTCTCTCTCTCTCTCCTTTGCCCGTTGATTTGAAAGTTGATCAGGGAGAAAGTTCACCGGGCAGCATGCGCATGCGTGGATCATTTGTTTCACAGTGTTATGGCTACTCCATGCCACTTCGGAGGATCTGATTGGCTGCGATCAACATGACACTGATAATAAAGGCCATAGCAAAAGCGCATATTAAACTCTTCCGTACGCAGGTCTGTCGATTTTGTTTCTGGGAATGCACTAAAAAAAAGGGGGGGGGAAGAGGAGGGGGAAGAGTTAAAAAGTTAAAAATCAATGCTTTCTGTTTTTATTAAGAGACACTTTTTATCTGGAGCAATTTTTATCTGGCTTATAAAAGGGGAATCAAATAGCTGTTCTGATTCCAGCTCTCCAAAGACGACAAAGCCTCTGAAGTTAACTCAAAGATTCCTTTATTAAGAGTGCCAGCACCCCCAGCACAAAGTTTCTCTCTCACCACAGGCTAACAAGTCTGCCCGGCTGAAGATGAATAGTTGTTTGCCATATCTATTAATCTCCACCCCCTGCCTTTTATCCCCAGAGCTAGGGTGGGGCTTCGTTAGCAGCGGTGGCTCTTCCTTCCCAAGGACCGGCCCAGAGATTTCCACTGCCCTCCTCTCCTCTGCCTTCTGTGCATTCGTGTGTCAGTCACTGGACCCAGCTGTTTCTCCTCTTCCTCATCAGCCACCTCCAGACCTGGGGGGCTATTGACTCTCCATCTGAGGGCTGACGGACAGCCCAGGCGCTCTCCCTCCCTCCCTCTTTCCCTCCCTCCCTCCCTCTCTCTGTGCCAGCTCCATTCCCTCTTCCCCCTTGGAGCTCTCTGGTTGTCTTGATGCTGATCCTGACTCCCATGCCTCCTCCTCCTGTGATTCGGCTGCTGGAGGGGCCAGCAGCTGACAGGCCACAACAATAGCCATTGCAGCATCACTTCAGATTTATATATTACTTCAACATGCTTTACAGGCCTCTCTAAGTGACTTACAGGGTCGACATATTGTCCCCAACAATCGGGATCCTCATTTGACCAAGCTCACATGAATGGAAGGCTGAGTCAACCTTGAGTTGGTCAGGATTGAACTCCTGGCAGTGGGCAGAGTCAGCCTGTAATACAATTCTAACCACTATGCCACCAAAGCTCCACATACAATTTCTTCCATGAGATTGCCACCCAGGGAAAATAGATGCAGCTCAGGGTTGAATCATGGCACTCTAGAAATGGATAGTATTTGCTAAGTATACAAAAGTAAAAAGTTGACACTGTAATTTTACTTCGCAATTTACTGCATTGAAAAAAGTTGGAAATCAATGCTTTCCTCCTTTCTTTTTTTTTCTTTATCCCATACTTTCTTTTCCCTTCCCATTTCCCTACTATCTTTATTTTCATTTCTATTTTAAAACATACAGTTATAGAATCATTGGGCTGGAAGGGACTTTGGAGATCTTCTAGTCCAACCTCTTGTGGTCAGCCGGCAGCCTGCGGAGCTGGCGGCAGAGTCGGACAGTGGAGAGGAACATGGGCCAGCCCTGGAGTCTGGGGAGGGCTCAGACGAGGGATCTGTGTCCAATACAGAGATGGGGCCAGGGCCATCTGAGAGTTGTGTATGGACTCCAGAGCCTCCAGACTCTGATATCAGCAAGGCAGAGGAACAGGGGGAGCTTGTTCCCAGTGCACACTTGCGCAGAGCTGCCAGAAGGCAAGAACATTTAAGACAAAAGGAGTGACTTGGGAATAAGGCTTGGAGATGATTGGCTCCTCCCATAAGATATAAAGGAGGAGAAAGGGACATGAGCCTTTGCAGGAAGCAACTTTGTTCGTTCTGGTCGGTTTAAAATCTGAAACTCCGTGTTGACTTTGTGCTCCGTTTGGCCTTGTACAGCTAATGGGCAATTTAGTTGTTGGCAGTATTTCAAGGGAGATAAAGGTGGGTGCTTATCAGCTTTATCCCAAGAGACTGTGGCAAACTTCTGTTGGACTATTCATAAACTGTTTGGGATTCATTATGGGCTGTGAATGCATATAATTCACAGCTGTTGAAATAAAACAAAAGGTTTTTGGGGAACAGCATGTGATTGTTACTGTCTCAGGAAGCCTTGGTCAAAACAGAACCCTCCTACTCAAGCAGGTGACCCTATACTATTCTGGACAAATGTATGTCCAGTGTCTTCTTGAAAACCTTTTATTATTTATTATAATAATCCTAAAAAACACCTGAAATTTTAAAAAAAATTGGATTCTTGGTGCAATGGATCATTAGTGTGACTTAATAATGTTAATTTTGCCTTACAATAAAAAGTCTACAGGGAAAAAACAACAACTTCAGAGAGCACCAAAAGACCAACATCTTCCAGGGGATCTTTTAAAAACACTCTCGAAAGGAAAGTCAGAAAGAAAGAAGCACTAAGCCACATGATGGCAGTAGATCCTGACAATTTATTCAACTACTAGGTCCACATGTTGTGCAAAGCCATGATTTAAGAAATTTGTTAAATAAACCACATTTGGGCTGAATTCTAACTACTTGTCCATGCAGTTTATCAAACACAATAAATAGGTTTAGTCACCACACTCAGCCATGAGCATGGTGGCTTCATGCTATCTCCGACCTTAGTCTATGATTTGCAAACTTGGTGCCTGAGTAACAGATCTGATTTTTTAAAAAGAAGTATGATTGGGGATCTTTTTTTTTTTCTGAAATAGGATTGCCATGTGTTTTATCTGACAGAGAACAATCCTCTATTGCAGGGGTGTCAAACTCGATTTCATTGAGGGTCACATCAGGGTTGTGTTTGACCTCAGGGGGGCTGGGAGACCGTGGCTGGGGTAAGCATGGCCAGCTTGACATCACTTGTGTCAGGGGCACCTTTGGTGGCCAAGTGCTAAGGAAGGACTTCCCTCAGACCCTTCCTCACACTCATTAATCCTTCCTTCCTTCCTTCCTTCCTTCCTTCCTCCCTCCCTCCCTCCCTCCCTCCCTCCCTCCCTTCCCTTCCTCCTTTCCCTTCCTCCCTTCCCTCTTCATTCTCCTTCCTTCTTCCTTGCCCTCTTTTCTTATTTTTCCTTCCTTGCTCTCTTCTCATCTTCCTTTCTTTTTCTTTCCTCTTTCCTGTTCTCCTTTCCTGTCCCTTCTTGCATGCTCAAATGCAAAAGGGGATACATTGCTCCTTTTGTTTTGTTTTTAGTTTGTTTTGCTAGCCTTCTGCCACTGGAAATGGAGCTCAGGGTAGCCATGCGCAGCCTCCCCCCCGCCAGCTCCGTTTTTGCTGGCAAAGGCACAGTGGGCTGGTCCTTTGCTGTTTCCAGAGTGGCCCGCAGCCCAGATCTAAGCAACCCATGGGCCAAATCCATCCTGCGGGCCTGCTCTGTTGCAACTTTTTTCAACTCGAGCTCCATCAAAGAGGTAGACTTCAGTGTCCAGAATCTTTCATATTGCTACGGGATATTTCATTGGGAGAAAGTTGTTCTGTCTAGGAGGTTGTTCATTCTTAGTTTGTTTTAAAGGTAAAAGAACCACAAAAAGAGAGAGGAATCAGAGCAATGGCCTTTGGTGGTTCCTTCACTTTATTAAATAGTACAGCTCGGCTCTATTATGTTCAACAGAACATACTCCATATAGGATTAGACTTGTGAATGGTTGCTTAGTGACTATTCAAACTTATAAAAGATCCCCCAAAGGTACTTATGGCCTGGGTTTAAATTTTTTTTGGGGCCCCCCCCCCCCCCCGCCTCCCACGGTCATATTTTAGATGCTTGACAACAGACAACTGACAACCGCATTGATGGTTGTTTGCAGTGTCCCTGAAGTGGCGGAGTCAAAAGAGGAATCACCCTAGAATCTCTACATAGACACAAAAAATGATTCAGTCCATCCCCTTCTTGACATTCATTAACCCTTATCTAGCACCAAAATAGTGCTAATTGTTAGTTGAATGGGTTCCTGTGCACAGTGCATAGTTCCATTAAATCAGTTTAACTGTAAATTCATGCGTAGTTATGGTCTTTCACATCTTATAGTCCCACAATCATGTAACCACAATTTATGATGTTCTTTGCTGGAAACCAGTGTTTACTTCTGGTTTCCAGCAAAAAAAAAAAAAATAGCCATTGCAGACAAGCCATGGCATTCATTTAATGACTGTACCATTTGCTTTACGAAGATCATATTTAATTAACGACTACTGCCAAAAATGGAAAATCAGGCTTGGTTGCGTGATTGGCTCAACTTACAACTTTCAAGACCTATGACAGAAATTCCAGGCTTCTGTATGGGAGAAAGTTGAGGATTACCTGGACAAGCGGAACATTCCACTTATTCTATGTGCTCTGTGAGGAAGAAGAAAGTCAAATCATTTTATGTGCTCAATGTATGACAGAAACCCACCTTCAAATTCTGTTTGACAGTTACCAGAGTTCTCATTTAAACTCTCCTCTTCATTGATGATAATATTTTCAATGTCCTTCATGGTTAAGTGATCCTGGAATGCATGGTAGAGGATGTGTTTAAGCTCCTCCAGTGTTATCCGTTGCATGTCAAACTGGGGAGAGAAAGTGAGATTTTAGTTTGCCTAAAAACACTGTCAAATGTTCTTGCACTTTGTTCAAGTCTGCTCCCCTCCAATTTCATAAAAAATCTACGCCCATGAAGAAATGGCCTCTTCTTTGTTCTCAAGAGCTTTTCAGAGCAAAATGAAGCTTGGTGTTTAGTCAGGGAAATGGGACTTGCTGCCCTCCCAAATCCAATAACCAACTTTTATTAGTCTAAAAAATTGTACAGCTCTCGGGATATCTCCAGGGTGTCTGTGAAATCTGTATACACACACACACACACACACACACACACACGGTTTGGTTTTATCCTAAAGCAGTGATAGCAAACCCTTTTCTCGTCGCATGCCAAAAGTGCATGCGTGCGCACCTCCACCCATAATGCAATGTGTGTGTGACCCCCCTGCCCCCTGTGCATGTGCGCGCAACCCCCTGCGCATGCACCATGTGCCCCTGTTCATGCACATGTGACCCTCCTGCAGCGATAATCTCTGCGCATGCACGCAGGACCCCCTGCACAGCCCCTGCCCCCTGCATATGCGTGCGCATCTCCTGCATGTGCATCTCCCCCCACGCATCTGTGGCAGATACCCGACCATCAGCTGGCTGGCGGGGCGCACGCGTGCGCATGCACCATAGGGCTGTTCCAGATGACCTCTTGCATGCCAGCAGAAATGGCTCTGTGTGCCAATTCTGGCACACATGCCATAGGTTTGCCATCACGGCCGTAAGGTATCCTTCTGAAGAACTTGTAGCAAACATGACTGTAAGGAAGGTTAGCTGGATGGACCTTTGGAGGCTGACCTCCTCAGTGTGAGATGCAACCCTCTGGCTATGGAATCTATGCAGGCACATAATTTCTTTGGTTAGGACAGGTCATGAAGCGTCATTTTGAAGAACTGGCCAGAGTCATGTCTATAGGGAGATTAGCTGAATAGTAAGAGAACATAGACAGGAACAGATAGTCTTCTAATCAGGGGTGGGATTCTACCGGTTCAGACTGGTTCGGGCGAACTGGTAGTTCCAGTGATCATTTGGCCTTGCCCCTGCTCTTTCCTGTGCTTTATTCCCTTGTTTTGGAGCACAGCTGATTTGCACGGCAGCGCACTTTTGCCATGCCTCAGCTGTTTTATTCACCGGGGCTGCAGTGGAAGGTAAGTATTATAGCTGAAAATGGGGTGTTTTTTTTTTTTAATGGTGTGCATGTATGCAAGACGGGCGTTTGGTGCGTGTGCATCTGGTCACCAAACCGGTTGTTACACCTGTTGAATCACTGCTTCTAGTGTCTATGGAGATTCTCCAATCATCCAGGTCATGGTTGTCCCAAAGGTACTTTTCCAAAAGGCAACTAGACTTAACTGAACCGAAGAAGCTTTTCGGATGAGAAGCAAAATGTTTTTAAGGAAAAAAAAAAACCAAGGAAGTCCAATCGCCTTTTGGAAAAGTAGCTTTGGGGTGGTCTTCTAGTCCAACCCCATCGGAACAGGACACCCAAGACTGCATACCCAACACAAGGAAGGAAGCATTTTATCCTGATATAGCAACAGATTGGGTCTCCTGGGTTGGATGAACCCAATAGTGATGCATATACATATATATTATAATTATGAATAGATACATAAACATCTAACTTAAAAAACCTATAATTCGCTTCTTAGAATTCTTTATTTATTGATCAAGTGTGATTGGACACGCAAGGAATTTTTCTTGGTGCAAATGCTCTCAATGTACATAAAAGAAAAGATACATTTGTCAAGAGTCAAGAATCATAAGGTACAACACTTAATAATAGTCAGAGGGCACAATAAGCAATCAAATCATACTAGGAAACAGTTGTGATGACTCAGAGTGTAACACAAACGTAACAAAATCCAAAACGTAAATAAATGTCCTTTATTGCCTCCAACCTGGCCCCACTGTTCAATAATACTCAGTTGGAGATAAAACGTACTCAAAAATAGTCTTTAAAAGAAAGCAATACAGTTCGAATTTAATGAGCAGATAGAGGTGAAATAAAAAACCAAACAAACTACAATGACGAAATGTCCACAATGAAACAGGAGAAGTATTTACCAAATTCAAGGAGATAACAAGGCACAGTCTGTTGGAAGGACACCAACCAAGATAACTTCAGCCCAAAATAATACACGCTTTGCTTCTGGCAATGCTGTGTTTTAACCTCTCTCTTATATACTCCTCTTCCCAGCTGTAACCAATGAGGAGGATCATTGCCACTTCCTCTCTCGCAAGCCAAGTTGTTGCCTTCTCCTTTACTCCCTGCATGTCCTAGGATGCAGAGGGGATGGGCCTGGTTCTTCCTCTGACTGCCCAGCCGACCTAAGCCCTTCTCCAGCCTCCTCCACAACCTCGGGAGCCACATCTCCACTCCCTGTTGGCTGTTCCTCCTCACCCTCAGTCCGACTCTACCAAGGGCATGACAACAGTCAATATAGATCGTAAGGATACAATTGACAAAGTTACAGTCCTACAGTCACAAATGAGAGGGGATGGGTGATAAGGAGTGATGAGAAAATGAATAGTAGTAGTAGTAGTAGTAGTACAGACTTCGTAAACTTTGCAAACTTTGTAAAATGAAGACTCTGTCCTTTACTTTCCTCATAGACCCATTAACTATTTCTTATTCTTTTATGCCATTGCAATCGTTATTTGAAGATTCTGTCGTCTCCTTTTATTTAATCTATCAAATCCCTTTTATCATTTTTGCAATAACATTTCAGTGGCGACATTTGAAGCGGTCAGGGAAATGAGAAGCTCCACTGAAAACTCATAATATCTATTGGTGAGTTCTCCATGGATTCTGTATATTTCTGTGAATTAGCTATCGTAGGATGCAGCTCAACAAGGAGCAAAAATCTCAAAACTCTGGATGGTAGTAGTGATGGATGACAAATAACAATAGCACAACAACTACACAGGTAGTTCTCAACCTACAACAGTTCATTTTGTGGACTGTTCAAAGTTACAACAGCACTGAAAAAGGTGACTTAGGACTGTTTTTTCATAATTACAACCTTTCCAGCATCCCCTTTTGATCATGTGATCAAAATTCAGGTGCTTGGCAACTGGTTTACATTTATGACCTTTTCTATGTCCCAGGATCATGTGATCCCCTTTTGCAACCTTATGACAGGCAAAGTTAAAAGGGAAGACAGATTCACTTAACAACCAGGTTACTAATAGATCATCTGCAGCGATTCACTTAACAACTGTGGCAAGAAAAGTTGTAAAATGGGGCAAAACTCACTTAACAAATGTCTCACTTAAGAACATACATTTTGGATTCCATTGTGGTCATAACAAAGCACTATAAAGCGGTATATAAGTCTAAGTGCTATTGCTATAACTCGAGGACTAATTGTACAGAAACCAAGTGGCATATAGTGTAATGTAGCACAAATACAACCTGTGCCAAATATCAAATCCTAAACTCTAAAGCTGGTTGGTGCCGGTTACATATTTCTAAAGACTGAGCTTGGTAGAAGAACTGGAAAGGTTATTTTCCTGTTCCCCACAAGAGGTAGCCAAACACATATAAAAAAAAACAACAACAACAACTCATGAACTGTGGTTGTCACAAACGACACTGGCTTTTTATAGTAACTCCAGATGCGGGAGAAAAAAAAAATGCAGAGTTTGTAAATCAATTTAGGACTTGGTAAGCCAGCCAGTCAGGTGGGCATCACTGTCAACCATGGATGATAAAAGGATAAAACTTTAGCAATTGATTGATTGCTATTTTTAGGAGTGTCTGTGCAGGTGAACTGGTTGGGCGGGTGAGCTTTTTGGCATTATAGCATAGGTTTCATTGGGTCACAAAAAGAAAACTAAAAAAAAAAAAAAGCCCTTGCAATTATTATGTAGAACTCCACATTGCACAAAGATCATCTTTTAAAACAGAAATAGAACACTGATCTTGTGGATGAAGGATGAAAACAGCTGGAAATGAATGGGAATTGTTTTCAAATTATTTGGAGGGTCAGAAGCTGTGCTGAACGCTCTTAGTTTCAGATACAAAGTATACGGTGGTTACAACCAGTTGATGGTGGTTATGCCCACACTGCCAGAGATAAAATACAGTACAAGTATTCCTCACTTACTGATTAAAGTTGGGACTGGTAACACTTTTGCTAATGATCATCATCATCTTTTAACCTTGCAGGGTGGAGTCTGAGCAACTGAACGGAGCTAGCAGAGTGTTTTAATGGCTGGATCCCCTTCCTGTCACCAACGTGGAGCTTTGTTCAGAAGATATAATCTCAGCGTGCCCAGAGAGATAAATATCTGCCTCTACCTAGGATTGAACTCACAGCTTCCCGATTGTGAGGCGAGAGCTCCACCTCTAGGCCACCGCACCACTCCAACACTTTTGCTAATGATGCAGTCATAAAATAGAATATCATGTGACCATGACTGAGTTACAATGTCAGTTAATCAGTTCTACCTGAAGTTTAGCAAACTACCAGGGGCCATTAAGCACAATGTCACATGACCATGACTTGTGACTTCCTGCTGGCTTCCCCATTGACTTTGCTTGTCACGGTTGGAAATTGGCAGGGAAGGCTGCAAATACACACTGGGATGTTTCAATGGCTGCAAATTGGAGGACTGGTCATAAGTCTCCCTTTCAGTATTTTTGTAACTTCAAATAGTCGCAGAACAAGTGGTTGGTGGAGGAAGGTTAGAACTCACTTTTTTTGGCTATGCTTCAGCAAGTGACAAAACGTAATTGCCTTTAGCAATTCTCAGAAGCTAAGAATAATCCTGGTTATTTAAGTGGATTCCAGGACAGTTATCGATATCAGAAAGATTGCAGAAGGAGAAAATTGTGTTTTCTTCTATATTGTTGTCAGGTAAACAACACAAAAATTGGACTTAACTTAAAGGACACATTGTTTGGTTTCAGACATTAAGTAATATCAGCCCCAGTGAGGATTTGGATGGGAGACCACCTAGTGTTTTTCAACCATGG